ATGTTATAATTTCACTGATATAAGGGAAGACGAAATATGAAACACAGAGAACCAGAATGATAGTTCAAGTCTTCGAAGAAATGAGACTAGAGAAAGAGTCTCCTATGTTGCCTCAGCCATTTCCTGACTCATCTTTGTTCGGAGACGGATTACGAGAGCGCATCTGGATTATGGTTGCCAAAGTGTTCCTTAGCTCTAACGACTTATCTGCTCCAGATTCTGCAGCTCCTCAGTGTGCCGAATAAAGGGTCTCTGTAACGTCTCGTTTCTCGGAGCTTCTTCGCACAACGAATGATTCTTCCCAGGGACCGATCGCGAGACAAACAATCCTTACTGGAGAGGTGTTGTCGGCTTCACAAATAGTCTGGCGTAGCAGACAAGGGCAGGTCAATACGAGTTGGTTTCTCCCCAGTTGCCTAATAGCTGGAGACCACAACCCAGAGACCAGGGGGAATTACCAAAAGTCCAAGTCCATGTTACAAGTTCCAAATCTTACCGGGGATTGAACCCAGAACCTCTAGCACTCGAGGCAGACACTATGCCTCCAGACCCCACAGCCCCCATAAACAAACGAGGTTACATCAGTCCTTACTCTCAATTAACGTTTGAAGTTACACATATTAGAAATCGCAAGACGTATATAACTATGCTGGCCTCTCCAACCAACAAAGTACTTCATAACGATGATTGTATAGCGATGCTGGCTTGCAGTTTACCCATTTCCTATCTTCTTTAACAATATGTTGTGTTCAAGGCTTATGAACATTACACATCTCTGCCATACTCCTGATGTTAATCTGGGAATCATATGAGTAAATATTGCTGTATATAGTACCGGAACCCATCATCCGCATCATCTCCCTGTGGATACCGGGACTCCATTTTGGTATAGAAAGAATATACCTGCCCCCTTCCACCCCCACCCCTCTTTCTTTCCAACAAGATCGTTGAGGAATGAGACTAATTAGGGGTATTTCCCTCAAAGTTGGGGTAGGTGTGGCTGGCAAGGATATTCTACGCACAGGTAAGTCAGGTCTGTAAAACGAATATGCACGCAAAACTCGTTCTGGATAGAGACCAAAATCCAGGAGGGGACAAACAAATGAAACTGTCTGCCGGAGCTTACTGCCAGCGAAGAAGAAGAAGTAGGCGAATTTTCCACATGAGTTTTTGTGTGTCTGACACATTTCTCATGTAATAATATAAATTAAATGAAGTCACGTAATTAGATGTCCACGATGTACTCAGTCAAAAGTGCACTTGCATTCTATGGAGTATACAGGATTGTGTATGTGAATTTATTTAATTTGTATACAGAGATGTTATATATAATTGAAATAGATTGCTTTCATTATTTTCTTGTCAAATATTAGGTATCTTAAAAAAAAAAAAAAAACAATTAACTGTTTCAGAAAATATTGGAAGATGTGGTTAATATTTAAATGTAACACTGTCAAAGTTCACCTTTTGTGACGGGTATTATCATCAACCACATTCTCATGTAATACATGGATGACAGTGGTGGACACATTGTACCCCAAAGTACGCAAACAGTTTGATTGAACATAGAGCAACGCAATATCAATTTTGTATAAATGTATTTTTCAGGCAGCTATGAGAATGTTGAGAGTAATAATTATGTTTACTTGTACATGTATGTATTTTCTGACATAACGTTTTGTTTGTGTGTGTATGTGTTTTTTTTTTTAAATTTTTTTTAAGGGTGTTCATTTGTTGCAACTAATAATAAGTCCCTATCCATAATGCACTGGCGATGCCTATACGGTGCATGATAACATAATGCTACGCTTACAAGGCGTATGCTTGTTCAGAAAATGTCAGCGCTATGGTGTTGTAGTTAACAAGATAAACCGTGCTGTCGATTCTTTAATCATAGACATACCTACTCATTATTTTTTCTCATAAAATCTGTTGCTGTTTTAAACTTGAATCTAGAGCATTCACACTAGGCTTTGCGTGGCTTCAGAACGCTATCTAGATTAGTCTATACAGCAGATACTAATAAACAAATAACACGAGTGCAGTTTGAACATTCTAGAAAATGTCTCAAATCTTGAATCATTCTGATGTTTTAGAATCTGGTGTCTCATTTTATCTAGATGATAAAGCATCCTTGATTTGTGACTATCTGGTGTTCTCTGTTATATGTCAGGCAATTAATATATTCGGAATCGTCACAAACAGTTTTAACATCGTGTGTTTTGTAAAGCAAGGTTTCAAAGACTCGACGAACATTACGCTTCTGGGTACGGCCATAGATATCGATCATCATTATCATGTAGCAGGTGATTTACACAGCGTCGCTTCACCCATAGCCGATCTGAAAGAAACTTGTCACATTAGCTTTCTCGACTTGGCACTTTCCTACCTGTGTGTCTCATATTTTCAGTGGACATGTTTTTTTTTTCCTTGTCCCTTTTATTATGTACCATGTCCTCAGCCAATGTTCTTTCCTAGCCATTGTGTCTTTTTGCTTCTTCTGTGAGTTCGCTGGCTGCAAACGCCGGTGAAAAGTTATGGTTGTTCGCCCATCTCTGGGCCCTAGTCTTGTTTCAAAACTCATGTGGTGCGTACACATCTTTTTTTAAAAATAAAACAGACCTGACTTTGTACGTAAACACGTAATTTATTGCTTCCCTCTGCCAGATGCGCTCTGACCTATAGGACGCCTCTAGTTAGTTGAATCTTACGACATACTTGCTGGAAAGTCAGAGGATCTATTATTGTTTTCTCTCACAATATGGCTTCATAAACCAATACGGGTCACCGTTGACTTCCATATGGCCAAAGCATTTCAATTATTATAAATTATTTAATTTGTCGGCGTTTGTGGTTTAGGCGTTGAGAACGCACTTTGCAATGCCGGGTGCCGAATTCGATCCCTGCTGCGGGCCTGACGAATTGCGTTGGTTTTGACGGTGGTGTCGAAAAGCCGACGGTCCAGAAGCAATGGCATACTTCTGGACGTCAGTTCGCCTAGAAAAACCACAACAGCCAAAAAATGCTGTGGTTGATTCTGCAACGTCCTGTAAAAGGATAGGCAACTAACTTTAGTCCACAATTCACACCTGTATCACGCTGTATCGGAGATGCCTAATCTTTGAATGTTGACCTTTTCATGACCTCCTAATAATATGAAATCGACGAAATCGTGTGTGTGTGTGTGTTTGTGAGTGTGCAATATATTTTGAATATTTATAACCTTAGAATATTTGTAAAGTTACACAATGTTATCTATACCAACACACACAGATATATATATATATATATATATATATATATATATATATATATATATATATATATATATATATATATATATATATACACATACATACACACTTATATTAATCGACGTCCCATCGGTGATGTAGTGAGCATCTTACCGGCCGCTTTACTTTCCAGAACTTTACCTGGTTTCCATGTTAGACGCATCTGACATGGTTGCCATGATCATTTTTGAAAACAATTATTGCTCGAAGTAGATTTGAACCCAAGACCTTCAGATCGACTGTTAATTCCGATACAACACCGCAGCTCCCTGTAACAATGGCGCTGTCTTGTAGCGTGTTTTTGGGAATGTCAAGAGTATAAGACACTTGACATCACGATGCAGACGAACACTTTGACTTCCTAATACTAGTTTAAAGATGGCCGCCTTACTTTTGACATGCACTAAAGAGAAGCAGGGTAATGTTTTCTGTGTAAAAATACATTTTTAAATGTAGGTCCGGTATGGTGATGCATCCTGTCAATCCAGCAAGTCTGTGAGTGGAGTAGGAAGATTCATAGCTGCGTAACCACAGTGACAAACAGTTGACGACCGGGTTAAGCATTGTAATCCCATTTACATGTAAGGGCATTAAAAATATCAAATGAATGTTATTACTGTAAGTAGGCATCCAGAGAACCACAGTAAGATAGAAGACAATATTACAGTGGATATTGCAAGTGCCTGTTGTGAAAGTGATTCGGTTTTAATCTCCCACATATGGCTGCATTCTGAGCCATTCCTTTACCTATTTGATGGAGCCTTACAACATATGTTATAACTACCAGGACAGAAAAAAACAAGGAAAGATATTCTTCTTTGTTCTTTTTGTCAGAAGTGTAGATCAAAAGGCCAGTAGTCTTTATTGGAGGTATTGTGCTGTCCAAATATTCTCATGCTCCTTAGAGCTTTGTTTTCTCTGAGGTTTGAATATGTAAAATTGCTTCTTTTTTTTTTTTTTTTTTTTTTAGCTGCAAACAGTGTGCAGTCTTGCATTATATAGTGTGCTAAACTATTTCCTATATACTGTCTCTTGTCTCAATACGGATGTCAATGACTTTGCAGACGAGTATCACATGAACAGAGCCCCACAAATAAGTAACAACATTGTGTGCAATATCAAGAAAATGTCACATTTCCTAAACGTCCTGAAGAGATGGCAGAAGCAAAGTTCTTAGGGCAGACTTTAGGAAAAGTCCTACCTGATAAACCCCAGTCAGATCCAAATAGCAAGAGAGACATTAGAGAAGGCTATCAATGCAGGTTCCTGAAGTGGTACTGGAAGGGGATTATTTTTCTAAACAATAACATCTCCTTATCCTCCTTTCTCAGTACCGTTTGTTGCTGGCAGTCTGGTCTTTACATGAAAGTAAAATGATGTTAAGGTTTTATTTATTTTAACTAATTGCTGCTGCAAACACGTATTTTACCTTAGGCAGTTCATACATTACTTGATAAAACCCCAAAAGTGTATATTATGTTAATAACAAAGTGACGCCTTCCTTCCCTCATGGGAACGTATTAACCATTCTCCCATTACTTCGTATGGGAAAATTCTTTTTGATACGCTTACTCTTTGGTATACGTCGAAAAATCAGGGACGGATAAGGCACTCTAACGAGGTAGCCAACGTGTATGTTTGTATGTGTGTGTGTTTTTTTTTTTTTTTTTTTTCGGCTCACATAAAATTCTTTACATTTATGTCCAGGTCTATCAGTCTCAGACTTAGCCAGCCGCATAACTATGGTTTTGACTTGTATCCTGTACACGCCCGCTGTTGTTGAGGCTGATTTACCGTTTAACAGCACGGATGTACATTATCTGGTACTTTCTATGCCTCATTTTGCATTCACCAGAATCAGCAGCTGTATCACTGCCATGCTTGCTCTAGAAAGATGTTTGAGTATTGTGGCTCCATTAAAGGTAATTGTTAAGACGTCCTGGAAACGAACGTGGCATATGGTGCCAGTTCTTTACTAGTTATTTCTGTGAAATTACTTTTTATTACGACATGCACACGTTCAACAAGGCTCAATTTATTTTATTTAAGATAAAATATACCGTATTGCTCTAAGATTAAGAGGACCACAAGTGTGAAACCCATTTTGAATTTAAGACAGGGGATTTGGTAAACAAAACAAAAACAAACAAACAAAAACAAATGATATGATTACATAAAGTTATTGATCTCTTGCATTCGTCCGTAAATACACAGACTCAAAGACCCCCTGCCAAAACCGCAAAAATTGTATAATAAAATCAGTAACTAGTAGCAGGGATGTGGTTTCATAGACGAATGATCAGAATACCCTGGGCGGATAAAAAGAGTAATGAAGATGTCTTGAATGAAACTAACTCAGGAAAAAGAACTGATTACCCACATCAGAACGAGACAATCTGCATTCTTTGGTCATGTGATAAGAAGGAGAAAACTGGAGAACATCGTGACAGTGGGTAAGCTGCAGGGTAGGAGAGGCTGCGGAAGACCGACAGAATAGTTTATGAACGGTTTGACATCATGGCATGGAAGATCATCTGTGTCAGAGTACAGAAGGTTGTGGTTAGACATGACTACCAACAGCACACGGCATGGGATTTAAGAAGATGATGTCGGTCGTGAACTTGGTTTCCCAGATGAAGCCCTGCAATAATATTTTGTAGCACATGATTTAGAAAAAAAAAAAAAAAAACTTTTTCTTGCATAAAAACGCACACTTTGTAGATCCTCTATTTCTAAGTGATAATTAAGCGCTTCTTAACAAGCGAACATTATAGCAAATACAATTTTTTTGTTTGGCTAAGTTGTGGGCCATTACCTTATGCATAGGCAAAATCTGTATAAAGTAACAAGTTAGAAACCTTTTCTAAGACATTCGTGTAGTAGGAATATGGTGCTAGAACCATGGTAATTCCCTAGGATGTAATCAATATCAGGCTGGTAGCTAGATGCTTTGGGAATTAGTAGGTGGGCACACAGACATACATTATGACGGACAAAACACAGAAGACAGACAGAAAGGCACACAATAAGAATGACAGACAGACAGATAGACAGACATATAGACAGACATAAAGACAGATAGACAGACAGACAGACAGACAGACAGACAGACAGACAGACAGACAGACAGACAGACAGACAGACAGACAGACAGACAGACAGACAGACAGACAGACAGACAGATAGACAGACATATAGACAGACATAAAGACAGAAAGATAGACAGACAGACAGACAGACAGACAGACAGACAGATAGATCGATAGATAGATAGATAGATAGATAGATAGATAGATAGATAGATAGATAGATAGATAGATAGATAGATAGATAGATAGATAGATAGATAGATAGATAGATAGATAGATAGATAGATAGATAGATAGATAGATAGATAGATAGATAGATAGATAGATAGATAGATAGATAGATAGATAGATAGATAGATAGATAGATAGATAGATAGATAGATAGATAGATAGATAGATAGATAGATAGATAGATAGATAGATAGATAGATAGATAGATAGATAGATAGATAGATAGATAGATAGATAGATAGATAGATAGATAGATAGATAGATAGATAGATAGATAGATAGATAGATAGATAGATAGATAGATAGATAGATAGATAGATAGATGAGTGGGTGGAAGGATGGATGGATGTATGGATGGATGGATGGATGATGATGGATGGATGGATGGATGGATGGATGGATGGATGGATGGATGGATGGATGGATGGATGGATAGATGGATAGATAGATAGATAGATAGATAGATAGATAGATAGATAGATAGATAGATAGATAGATAGATAGATAGATAGATAGATAGATAGATAGATAGATAGATAGATAGATAGATAGATAGATAGATAGATAGATAGATAGATAGATAGATAGATAGATAGATAGATAGATAGATAGATAGATAGATAGATAGATAGATAGATAGATAGATAGATAGATAGATAGATAGATAGATAGATAGATAGATAGATAGATAGATAGATAGATAGATAGATAGATAGATAGATAGATAGATAGATAGATAGATAGATAGATAGATAGATAGATAGATAGATAGATAGATAGATAGATAGATAGATAGATAGATAGATAGATAGATAGATAGATAGATAGATAGATAGATAGATAGATAGATATTGCAGACAGATGCAATAATATCCTGATCTTACCAATGATTTCAACTTCTATTATGCTATTTCTGTAGGTGAAGAGCATTATCACTCCAGAAAGAGCAGGAGTAAGTGTCGTCTGCATCTTTATTGTCTTTACACTCAGCTGTTCCCCTTTCTACGCTGTAAACTGGATGGGAACAAAATTTGTAGCATCAAGAAACAAAACAATCTATGGACTTTTCTCCAGAGACGACCATGAGCAGATAGAGATGTTTACCTTTTCTATAAACAACTTTTTCATTCCATTTTGTGCGTTTGTAATCGTTGCTGTCTGCACAGTTATTCTGACTTCACAACTACGTAAGAATTCAGTATGGAGAAAAACAACTACTGATGACACTCAAGCACGGAAAATGGCAATTCGAAACAAGAAGGTAGCAAAAATGGTGATCTCGATTTCTACTTTGTTTATTTCTTGTTTCGTGCCAATTAGCATTATAATGCTGGCAGTGGCCTTTGAACCTGGTTTGTCGATTAAAGGAAAGTACTTTAATGCCTCAAAAATATTGGGCGGGTGTGCTTTTGTATTAGAAGGCATCAACTCCTCAGTAAATATTTTCATTTATCACCATATGAGTACGAAATATAGAGATACCTTTCGTACATTGTTGAAATAAGAAATTTAAATAATTTAAACAAAGATATATAACAGTCATGAGGATTTAATGGACTATGCTTCTGTCGCATACTAATTGCTAAATGCTAAAAATTGTCTCTATCTTTGAAGCTAGTTTACTGTCTGTCTTGTGATCATGCACGTAATTGTTTTATTTTTATGTTTATTATTATTTTTATTTTAAATGCAGGAAGTCCTCGTTATAATGAGAAGATAAGGAAGAAAGAAAAATATCATTATGATCAACTCATACTTGGTTAAATGTTGGGTGACAGATTTGTATCAAAAGAAAAGAAAATCTAGATTTGCTCGCGAATACCTAATGGTACCTTGAACACCCCCCCCCCCCCTTCCCCACCAAAATCTCAGAAATTCAGAGCTCCAGAGACATTCGCCAAGCAATCTATCTAGTCGAACTTGGGAGAAGATAAGATGCACGACATGTAACTCTCTACTCGGACTACTAGGAAGAAAGAAAAATATCATTATGATCAACTCATACTAGGTTAAATGTTGGGTGACAGAGTAAACTAGTAATGATTATCGTGTGACAGAGTAAACCAGTAATGATTACTTTAATATTTAAAAAAAAAAGTTATAAGATATTGCCAGTCAGGTTAATCCTTCTTATTAGCGTTACATCATGTTCTTTCTTCGAATTTGGGAGAAGATAAGAAACACGAAATACTACTCTCTGTCGAGTTTTTTTATCTTCTGTCCAGTTAAGCTTTATAACAGCGTGACAGTAAAGAAAGCTTGAAAAAAAAAAAAAAAATTCGATGTTTAGACATTAAACGAGACAGAACCATAGCACACTTGCTGTGTCTCGCTGACTCTGACACAGACAGTTATAGTGTTGATAAGAACAAAGTAAAGAGCATATCTAAAAAATTGTCCAGATTGTTAAAATCTGAGATAAGAACTTTAGCCAACAGGAGCAGCCCTGCAAGTTATACCATGAGCACAAATTTGATATCTTTTATATTTGTTTCGTTATATTTATTTTCTGTTTGTAATATCAAGGCTTACTTTAAAGAAAAAAAAAAAAAAAACAGTGCACTTTCATGTTTCAAGATATCTAATTGACATCATAGATTTTAATATTTATTTTAGTTAGTTAAATGTCAGGAATGTTATCACAAAACTCCAGACTGATCCACTGGTACTCCAATCGCCTGCGATATTAATCACATTAACATAACATGACTGATCACGTCAGTTATGTGTTGAAAAAAAATAAAATTCCTCATGCCCTGAGAGAACTTGTAATGTCCGCTAGCTCAAGGGTGACATCCAGGCATTTTTTTCCCCAAGAAACGGCATATGCTTGAGATTTTTGTTGACGGTAATATTGACGGATACTAGATGGGATTGGTAAAGTAAAGAGATGAATGCCTTGATGATTTCGTCACTTGCATGGGACAAGACAAGAGAACTGACATGATCTTTTATATTGCTGATCGTTTAGAATTGCGTATTATTTCATCTTGTGCTTTCTGACACAGCACATACAATAAAACCAACTATACAATGATAATAATGAAGAAGGGGGGGGGGGAGCATCCATGGTGTATCGGATTTTAGTTCGCCCACGATGCGATGGTCGAGGGTTGAAATCCGAATATGTGCGGATTTGTGTTTCTTTTAAATGACATTGGCTCCCAAAACGATCATGTCCAAAACAGGTAACTCAAATGATCATTGAAAGTAAAGGCGGTCCCGTAACCACATGGCATATGCCATCCTTTCGTGAAAATGGTCATTTATCTGGCCGGTTAAGAGGTAAGTAAACAAAAGGATAAGGGAAACAGATATAGTACGTGGCCTCCCCCCCCCCCCCCCTACCCCGCCTTTTTTTTTGCTGACATATTTATCACCGGGCTAGTGTTTAGAAATTAGTTTTCATGTTTGTTCAGCTTCTAATCTGTATTGTTTATGAACAAATACATTGTTTCAATAAGGTTGCATATATAAAAAAATGTCTGTTAATTTGTAATATTGTTCTCCTTTGTCTTTTTCCACGTGCATCTGCCCATGGGTCTGCTAGACAGATGCAAAATCTGTTTTGCTATCCATTCAATTATAATCTTGGAAAAAAA